CGGGAAGTGTGGGTGACCTCAGCATTGGAGTCCTTGTTCAACCAACCCTGCCATGTTGGGTGCCTGCATGGGGATGCCCTGTGGGGGGAGGCACCTGTCCCAGGCCACGACCATCTGCTCAAGGTCACAGTTACCTACCAAGATCACAACCCTGCCCAAGGTCACAAGCACCTGCCCCCAAATCATCTACCTTTCCAGGGTCATCATACCTGCCCAACAGCACACCCATGCCCAAGGTCGTCAGTGCCCACCCAAGGTCTTATGCACCCACCCAAGGTCACATGTACACACTCCTACCCAGACAGAGCCACGCACACCCGCCCCAGGCCATTGTGCCCACCCAAGGTCGCATGCACCACCCAAGGTGGTCACACCTGCTGAAGATCCCTACATGCTGGGGACCAAGGTCGCAGCTGTGTGCCCAAGGTCAGGTGATGCAACGCCTCCTGTCACCCCTGCTCTCAGTCTCTGAACGCGCTCTCCTTCCCTGGGGCTCCCTCCAGAGGGCACGAGGTGCCAGGAGGAACATCTGCCTCATTCCAGGAACCAACTGCCCTTGGAAATCCAAAATAAACTCCACGCTAAATGGTCTAGAAAACACGACTGGAGCTCTGGGCACAGGGAGGCCGCCCAGCTGCTCCTGGCTGGGTCCCCTCTGAAACCCGCCCGGGCACTGCGAGCCGGAGCGGGTCTGACTCACGAGCAGCCAGCCCCAGCCCCAGACGGGCACTGGCAGCAGGGCCAGCCAGAGAGGCAGCGCAGGCAGCCCGGGTCTGTTTCCTGCTGTAGAAATCCAGCCATCGGTGCCCAGGCTGCACCGGCCAGCTGAGAACTGGCTGCTGCCGCCACGTTCCACGTGCTACCTCACACGCCCTCCTGGGGCCAGGGCAGGCCAGACCCCTCAAGAAGCAGCTTTAAGCCACAGCTCTGACATAAAGTTTGATCGAGAAAGCAGGGGCCGAGGTGGGGTGGGGGGTGGGGGTGCGATCCTCTTCCATCTGGACCAGGCAGGCTGGTGTGGTCACAGTCCTGCAGCCACGTTCATATGCAGGTTGCTGGTCTTCCTGGAGGAGGCCCGGCAGCACAGTGGGCTACCAGCCAGGCTGCTCACGCAGGGTCAGCAGTTCAAAACCACCGGCCGATCCGTAGGAGAAAGATGGCCCTTTCTATCCCCATCAAGGGTTACAGTCTCAGAAACCCACAGGGGCAGTTTGCCCTGTCCTCCAGGCCCATGTGGGCCTGAGTTGTCCCGATGGCCCAAGGTTGGCTTGGATCTTTCTGCATTTCTTCCCCGGCCAACCCTCTTTGAGAGGGAGGCAGATTTTGAAAGGTGGCCATGAAGACTCAAGGTGTTTGCCCGCATCTGCAAAATGGGTCATTCCTGGTCCCTCGCCTGGTCAGCAAAGGACCCCCTCTTGAGCGCCAATGACAAGGCAGCCAGTCGAAGACTTAAGCCCTGAGCCCAGGACCCTGGACAAGACTCACATCCCTGATGGTGGTGGGTCAAACCTCAGCCTCTGCTAGATTTGGGGTGGAGACTCTGAGAGACAGGTAGAAATAAGGGGGCGGTGTCTGCCTGGGCCTTGAGGCAGGCTGGCTGTCCAGGTGTGTGTCCATGTCCCTCCCTGTCCTAACCCTCTCTGTTCTGGGGACCCACCTGCTGGGCTAGTCTGAGTGGGTGTGCAGTCCTTGCCGCCAGGCAGACTTGATAGGACAATGGGAGCTGTATGGGGTGGAGATCCCATCTGAAGGGTCTCACCAGGTGCTCCCTCGGCCAGGGTGGCACTTCATGGTGGAAACCGCAGCTCCAGCAGCTTCTGTGCCCAGGATCAGCATCACCTTCCTGCTGCCGGCACACCGTACCCTCCCCCTAACTCAGTCCCAAGCCACGAGGACAGGGCGCTCTCCCAGACGGACCTCTCTGCAGCCCTCGTCCTTCTCACCAGCACCGGCCACCCCACAGCGGACCCAGGAACTGCCAACCCCACAGTGGACCCAGGAACTGCCAACCCCACAGCGGACCCAGGAACTGCCAACCCCACAGCGGACCCAGGAACTGCCAACCCCACAGCAGACCCAGGAACTGCCAACCCCACAGCGGACCCAGGAATTAGCTCCTTTGTATTGAACGAGAAATATTCTTTTTGAGTAGCTTAAGATCCACGCTAACCTAATCGCCCTACTCCTGCAAGGAAGACCATTAACACAAAGGCGATTACCATCAAATCTATGCACCGACTTCCAGCGCCAAAGAACATGATGTTGGAGATGCTTAGAGATTGCTGCTGCCTGAAACTGATCAACCATGCAGCCAAGAATGCATTGATAATTACTGATGATTTTAGAAATAACCCACCTCACTCCCCCATAGTCAATTCCACTCACAGCGACTCTATGGGACATGGTAGCATTGCCCCTGCAGGTGTGCCAGGCTATAAACCTTTATGGGAGAAGAAACCTCCTTTTTCTCTCTGAGAGCACCTGATGGATTTGAACTGCTGGCTTTGAGGTTAGCAGCGCAATCCATAATCCACTATGCCACCAGGGCTCCTGAAATGATTGGTGGTTGTCATGGGAAGGTAGGAAACAAGAAGGATCAGTACTTGGAAAACAGCCTTGGTGATAGGAACCCACCAGAGCTCACATGATACAATTTTGCAAGACCGCTAACAGAAGACCTGGCGAGCCGTGGGGTGACCTCAAGCACATCTTACACGAAGAAGGTCAGAGTCATTACAAAGACAGAAAAGACCAATGTGGACGTGAGGAGAGCCTGACACTGCGGCTGAAGTGAGTGGAAGAAACACCGGAGTTCTGAGAGCTGAAAGATGAAGCTCAAAGTTTCAGAGGACAATTCAGGAGGACACAGTATTCTCATGAAACGAGACCTGGAGTCAGGAAGCATTTCCCAAGCTGAACCAATGGTGGGGAACATGCAAACCTCAAGGTGCAAGACTGAAGCATTCTATGAGCAAAAATTGGATGATGCAGGAAGCTTTGATATTTCTTGTGATACAGTTCAGAAGCAGGACACAGAGTCACCATACTCCCAAGAATTCAACCATTACGGAAGGAAATGAGTGATCAAGAGCCAATGGTCTGGAAGGAAGAGACCCAAGGTGCCCTGACGGTATTAACAAAACTAAACAAAAAGGCTCCAGGAATTGACGGAATACAAATCGAAATGTTTCAACAAGCTCATGAAGTGCTGAAGCACCCAATTGTTTATGCCCCAGAATTTGGGAGACGGCTACTTGGCCATCTGAATGGAAGAGATTCATATTTGTGCCCATTCCAAAGAAAGGTGACCTAATAGAATGCAGAAACGATCAAACAGCCGCATTAGCATCCCGAGCAAGTCGAATGTTGGTGAAGATCATCGGTGGTGGCTGCAGCAGTACATCAGCAGGCAGGGCCGGAAATTCAAGCTGGATTCAGAGGAGGGCACTGCAGGAGGGCTCCACTGCGGATGCCAGAGGATCTTGGCCCAAAGCAGAGACGCCAGAAAGAGGCTTCCTTCTCTTTAGTGCATACAAAGGCGTTTGACGTTGTATGGGTGGTGGTGAGGGTCATAATAAACTAGGCGCGACTTGACCACGAATGAGAATTCCAGAATGCTTCGTGGGCTCACCTGGAACCTGTTCACGGACCAAGGGGCAGTTGTTCAAACAGAGCAGGGTGACACTGCGTGGGTTGAAATCAGGAAAGGAGTACACCGGGGTTGATCCTTTCACCGTATCATTCAATCTATATGCTGAGCAAGCAATCTGTGAGGATGGATTCTATGAACAAGAACAAGGCACCGCAACCCAGCAATCTCTCTCCTCAGTACAAACTTTCAGGAAACCAGGAGCAAAGCAGGACATTGGCACACCCATGGCCGCCAGACTGGTCGTAGTGCCAAGAAGATGGGAGCAGCCGGCATGCCCATTGCTGGTGGAATGGGCGAGCAAACTTTGGTTCAGACACAGACACTCAATGGAATACTACCAATAAGTAATTCTCAAACACTTCACCACACGGATGGTGTGGCAGTTACATCATCTGGTGTCAACTTGTGAAGGGGTGGAGGCTAGCCTGTCAATCAGGCCACAGCTTGATGACCTCATTTGGAGGTACTGTGGAGATCAATAGTTCTCTGGGGGCGGGGCACACAGACACTCCCTGTGAGACATTCCTGCTGACAAGACACACGGAGCTATGCTAGAGCCCTGGAGCTGGAGGAGCCACGTGGAGATCCCTGTCAGTGTTGAGATGCTTCCACTGCCACTGGATCCAAGACTTCCCACCCACTGGCCTGTGATCTTCCTGCACTTGGTGTCATTGCATGTGTTGCATGAGTCTGAAGAGGAATTTACAGACAGGTATCGGACACATGGGTAATATCGGACTTACGGACTTGATCTGGACTGGGCTGGCATGTTTTCTGAATATACAATTGCTCAATATACAATTGTATATAAAGCTCTCTCTTACACACACATGAGTCTCCCTGGATTTGTTTCTCTAGCCTCGTCTACCTGGACCGACAGTGACGAGCTTGGAAGGTAGCATGCTGAGTAAAGGTAGGCAATTCCATCATGATGAAGCCTGTCTGCGACCACTCTTATAAAAGAATGAAAAATTGAGGAAAAGGTCTTCGTACCAAAGAAGTAGACTTGGATGGTTTTGGGGAAGGAAGGGGGAGGGGAGAGAGAAAGGGGGGAGGAGGGGGAACAAAAATGGAACGGACCAGAGGGCGGCATCAGGGCAGGAGGAGGCTCATGAACGACCTGCGAGATGCAGACGGCGCCGCTGTGCTCGTGGAAACCAAGGCGGGCTTGAGGCACTTGGCTTGAGATCACAGAGGACAGCCTTCAGTCTGGACCGTGAGTCCGTGGGAAGCAAAGCCAACCAGCAACCTCAGCAAGGTGATGGACAGCGCAGCTACATCGATGGGCTCCGGCGTAAGCGCCATTGTGGGACGGCACAGGGCCGGGCGAGCTTTCGCTCAGTGTGACAGGGTCATTCTGAGCGGGGGCACCCTTGGTGGCACCAAACACCACCGCCAGGGGGTTCTCCAAGGCTTTGCATGTCTCCATGGGAGCACACAGACTCAGCTAGGCCCAGCAAAGCAACCAGTGGGTTCGAACTGCTGACCTTGAGCTTGGCAGTCCAACACTTAACAGCGAGCACCCACAGGCTCCTTGTACCTCGAGGTAAACACAACAAAAATCCCCGCAACGGAGCCAATCAGGCCCACGGTGACGAAAGAAAGATGGAAGTCGTCAAGGATTTCATTCCACGTGGGCCCACGATCGATGCTTGGGGGCAGCTGTTGAGACATGAAACTCGGCGCGAGACAGGTGGGAAGTGCTACGACCCAATGGGGCACCTTGAGGACCAGGGCGTGCCTGGCCCAGGCCATGGCATTGCCCTCATCTCAGACGGACGTGCAGACTGGACGTGGGGCCGTTAGAATGGCACGCAGGTGAAAGTGTGCGGAAGGTAATTCTGAAACAGTCGCAGCAGTGCGTGGACTGGGAGCCACCAGAATCAGCAGTCGGACTTGGAAGAGGATGCGGACGGGGGGCGGGAGCGCGTGGCTGACGCCAGCTGGATCGTGGTTTGTTGACTTGTGCAAAGGCCTTCAGCTGTATGGCTCCTAAGAGAGGGTAAGTGGCGCTGCAGAGAAGGGGAGCCCGGGCGGTCTTCCTGCAGAGGCAATTCATGGATGGGGAAGGAGGGGCAGGGAGTCATCTGAGCAGAGTAGGGGATACTGTGGGGCTCAAAGTTGGGACAGGTGTGTGGCAGGGGGGTGCCTATGTCATCGGGTGTCGTGAAGTCAGCTCCGACCGGTAGCGACCCTGTGTACACTGCCCAGTTCTGTACCGCCCTCCCAACGGTCCCTGTGCCTGAGCCCACTGGTGCAGCCACCACGCCCATCCACCTCATCAAGGACCTCCTTTTTTGTCACTGCCCCTTCCACTTCACCAAAAGCATGTGCTTCCCCAGGAACTGCTCTTTCCTGACAACGTGCCCCAAGCATGAAGACAAAACCTCACCACCCTTGCCTCCAAGGAGCATTCTGGCCTTAGCTTCTTCCAAGACATACCGGTTCGTCCTTTTAGCAGTGCACAGGACTTTCAATATTCTCCTCCAGTGCCACAGTTCAGATGCACTGATTCTTCCACGGTCTTCCTTATTCAATGCCCTACTTTCACACGCAGATGATGCAATGTAGACTTGGGCCAGGCACGCCTTAGTCCTCTTAGTCCTGGAAGTAATAACCTTGCTCTTCAGCGCACTAAAGAGGTCTCCTGCAGCAGATTCCCTGGGGCAAGGCATCGTTTGGCCTCTGGACTGCTGCTTCCACGAGCATCGATGGTGGATCCAAGCAAGACCAAATCCTTGACAACGTCAACCATTTCTCCATTTATCAAGACGTCACCTATGGGTCCAGCGGGAGGAGAACCTTGTGCCTAGCCAGGAAGCATTCCCTGTGTACACTTGGGCAAATCATCAGAGAACCAGGACGCCGTGAAGGAGACGGTGGCCTAAGGAAGGGAGGCGGACTCGTGGCCAGACGGAATGCGACCCTGCCTGCCGAGAATGCACGTGTGTGATGGTGTGTGAAAGACTGCAGCCTCCCGCTTGGATGGCACCTCTGCTGACAGGCAACAAAATCCTCACAACTGGACCCGCAGACAACTTCTGATAAACGAAGAGACACATCGCAGGCACATACTGCCGTGGGCGCAGCAGCCCGGGGATCGGGTGGCATGGTGCGTTGGGCACATCTGCTGCACGAGCTCTTTTTGAAATCTTAAAAAGCGAAGGCCCCGCTCTGGAGACTAAGGCGTGCCTGACCCGGGCTGCGGTCCCCTCCACGGCCTCCTGCGCAGGCTCACGTGGAGAAAGGGAAGAGGAGGCCCGAGGAGAACAGGTGCTTTTGAGCGGCCGCGCTGGCTGTGTTGAATATTGAACATGTATTGAAAATCGGATATGCCAAGGGCTGTCAAAAGAAAGAGCAAACCAGCCATAGAAGCAACACAGGTGATTCCTGAGCGGCGAGAACAGGGAGACTGCCTCCCCGTGAAAGACCTTGGTGTTTGGTGAGGCAGAGGCTCAGGAAAGCGAGGGGATCCCCAGTGAGATGGCTGGCCCAGCGGCCCCACCACGGGGACTCACACACCCCCTTAGGAGCTGGGCACAGGGCCGGTCTCGATAATGCACCTTCTCCAGTGGTCCCTGAACTGACCCCTGAGATCCGGCCTGTACTGCTATGTCACAGCCACTCTGAAGTTTGGAAACTGAGGCTGAGGGGCTGAGGGCCAGGCTAGGTCCACACCCAGCCCAGCGGGGAGACAGGACGTGGAGGTTCATGTCCAGACTGCTGACCCTGGAGCCCGGACGGGAGCCAGGCGGGGGCCCGGCCCGGCACTACGCACCCATTTTGTGGCCATGATGAGGACAGCGGTGCCGATGGGGCCGGAGTACACGCCGTAGCCCTCGCGGTCCTGGTACACCCGCACGGCGATGGTCAGGACCCCGAACATTGCCAGCGTGGACCTCTGAGGCTCGTCGAAGTCGGCCAGTGCTGGGGGCGGGGTGGGGCAGAGAGAGGAGCTGAGGCTCCCTGGGGTCCCAGGGTGACTGATGGCCCTCAGCCCGAGAGGCCAGGGTGGTCCGAGGGGCCAGAGACCCCAGCGGTTTCCTGGGGAAGGCAGGCTGCTGCTTCCCGTGGACAGAGGGAGGTACCCGAGTGCCTGTGAGCACACAGCCTGCGGTGCCAACAGCGGTGTCTGCTCACGGTGGTCACGGTTGGCACCAGCGGTGGGTGCTGGCTCAGGAACCCTGGTGGCACCATGGTTACATGTTGGGCTGATGGAGGAGTGGCGGTGACCACAAGGTCAGCAGTTCAGAACCACCCGGCACTCCACGGGCTTTCCATTCCTGTGAAAAGTCACCGTCCGGAAACTCAGAGGCAGTTCTGCCCTGCCCTGCAGGGTCACTGTGTCGGCATCCACTCGATGGAGCGGAGTTTCCTTTTCTGCTTGACTGGGTGCTGCCTCAGGAGCCCCGGTGGCACCGCAGGTTTCTGGCTGGGCTGTCCAGCCTAGGTCAGCGGTTCGAGCCTCCCTAGCTACACGCGGGGGAAAGATGAGGCTGTGTGCTCCCACACAGGGTCACAGTCCCTGAAACTGTGACCAGGTGGTGGCTGTGGGTTGGCAGTGGGATTGGCTGGATGTCGAGAGGTGGGGGTGTACCCCAGGTGAGGCCCTTGGTAGCACTAAGCTGTGCACCTGAAAATGCTCGATGGGCCAATGTGTCCTGCACGTATATTCAAAAAGGTGACAAGACTCCGGCCCTCCTGCAGTGGCAGCTCCGGGCTGGGTGGGTGGGGGATTGGGAGACAGTGACTGTGACAAGTGGAGAAAAGTGATCACACAGCATGACGACCCCGCAGGAAACATCTGCCTGTGTGTGCACGTGTGCATGCGTCTACATGCGTGTATGTGTGTGGGCATGTATCTACACGGGTGTGTGCATGCGTCTAAGTACGTGTGTGTCCATGGGCATGAATCTACGTTTGTGTATGTGTCTAGTGAGTGCATGTGTATATGTATGAGTGTGCATCCGCATGCGTCTACATGTATGTGAGCATGTGTGCATGTGTCTACGTGTGTATGTGCCTCTGTGCCTGTGTGTGAGCATGCACTCGTTTGTAGAAGCCCCCAGACAATCCTGGGAGGCAAACTTTCATCTGTCTACAGTGCCCCCAGGAAGGTGGGGCCTGCCCCTTCCTTGTCTGGGTGTCCCTGGGAGCTGCGTGTGCCCAGCTCAGAGTCGATGAGAGGCGTGGGTGCTCAGGTTGTTTTCTCCTGTGTCCAGCTCCTCTCTGGGGCCCAGGTGAGGAAGGGGTCTCAGGAGGTCAGGGGACTGACCACCCCCTGGGGTGAGGGGAAGGTTGGGAGTGATCCCGGTGTGCAGGGCAGCATGCACTCCTTGACCAGGGACACCCAGTGGGCGCAGGGTGGAGGTGGGGGTGCATTTGGCCATAGGACACCCAGTAGGTAGGGGGTAAGGCGCGGGATACACTCTCCTATCGGGGCCACCCGGTGAGTGCCGGGTGGGGGCAGGGCACACTCACCCATCAGGGACAGCCACATGCTCAGGGCCGTGCCGTAGACGCTGAAGTAGTGCAGGAGGTCCAGCCGCAGGAAGCAGAGCATGGCCAGCCCGGGGCCGCTGCAGGCATGGTGGAGCTGTCAGGAAACCCGGGTGCTCAGTGGGCCAGAGGGTCGGAGCCCTCGCCGGCCAGGAGCCCGGCCCAGCCTAGCCCAGCAGAGAGACGCAGGGGTTCTTTGGGCCTGGGATCCCCAGCAAGGCCCAGCCCTCAAGGGTCTGAGGGACACACCATGCAACCCTCACACGAGGGCCTCAGCCCTCGGCCGAGCCTGTCACCCAGCCCCAGGGGCCTGTGGGGATGCGGCCAAGGTGCTGGTTTCACTTGAAGCGGTTTCCTTGCTGTGCTCCGTAGCTAGGCCACGATGCGGTGGCTTTACGAATGGGAGGTTAGTGGCAGCCCTGCCCGGTTGGTTGTGCAGGATGCTGCTTGCCCAGCGTTGCGAATGAATGTGCTGACTTGCTTAAGAGGATTCATTTCATGCTTTGTGAATTCTACCTCGGTTGGAAGAAAAAAAATCCCCAAATGACTGCAGCATGTGGAGCCCCGAGCTCCCGCCTGTAGGGGCAGAAAAGACCCTCCAACTGAGGGCAGGGTGGCCCAGTGGGCTGTTCTGCGTCAGGAACGCTGGTGGCCTAGTGGTTACACAGTGGGTTGTTGACTGCCAGGTCGGAAGTTTGAACCCAGCAGCTGCTCCCCAGAGGAAAGAGGAGCCTTTCTACTCCTATAAACCATGACAGTCTTGCACCCTGTCCTGTGGGGGTGACTGCGGATTGAGTCTGAGCCAATGGGCTGGAAGCCCCTGAGAAGCTGGCCAAAGCTCTGCGACAGATACATTCACACCCGTGCTGAAGAGAGAGTGGGCGGGTGCCTGCTGGGTTCCCTATGTTCACCTCGTGGGAGCTGGTTCCATAGTTTGGAGTTTAGGGTCCCGGTTTCCGGAGCTTCCCCTTGAATAGTACCATGTGTGGCACTTCTGTTCTACCTCCTGGCTGGCGAGGTCATGCCTGGACTTTTCAAAGCAGGCAAGAGGCTGTTCCCATGCCAACCCCGGGTCTGGAGCCCAGAGGGAGGAAGCAGAGTCAGGAACTGGGGTCTGGAGTGTGCGTGGGGTTCGTCCCCTCCACGGACAAGGGCCTCCTGAGGCCAGAGGAAGTGGAAGGAGCCCCATGACCAGAGCTGGACGCTTGCATCCGAGTGATCAAAAGGGAGGGGATGACACAACAGACCTTCAGAGGCTCCTGGGCGCCAGACGGTCTGCGGCCGTGGCAGCTGGCTGGATCCCCGAACTCTTGCCCTCAGTCTGAAGCCCCCAGTATCCCCAGGAGTCTTCTTGAAGCCAAACAGTTGTCTAGGTCGACTGGGAATGGTGGTCTGCCGTGAGCACGGTGCTCTGTGAGGAGTTGTCTGCCCCGATCAAACGGGTAGTAACTCGGACGGCGAGCGAGAAACCTGCGCTTAGGGTCGTGGAGTGGGAGCAACTCTGAGAGGGAGGGTCGGGCGGGTCCCCGGGATGCCCCCAGATGTCCCCAGATGCCCCCGGATGTCCCCAGATGCCCCCGGATGTCCCCGGATATCCCCGGCACTGCTGGTTGTGCGGACACTGGGACTGGTTTTTGCCGTGAAGGCACTCAAGAATAATGGCAGAAACCCTCGGTTATTTAAAAATCCCCCCCTTGGGGGAAGGGGAGTTAAGACCCACGTTGCTGAGCCCCACCCCGGAGCTGCTGATTCTGTGGGTGCTGGGCGGGGCCAGAGCATCTGTCACAAGACGGTTGGTCTATACTGGTTGGCTTCTTGAGAGTGGCCAAGTCTGTAAGATCGCACAGACCCCCCTGTGTCCCCACAAAGTTCCCCCCCACTGCTGGGTAAAGCCCCCGTGACTTTCCACCTGGCCCAGAGGTACCCCAGAAGAAAGGGCTGACCTCCACGCCCCACAGATTCGTTCTGCTCTGCACAGCATCTGAGTGCACGGTGGGGCGGCCCTGAGCCTGGCTTTGGTGTGCGTGCCCACTAGATGCTGGACAAAGGGTCTGGGGATTGCCACCCCCAATCCTTCCACACATCCTCCCGGGCCTAACTGAACGGCCACTTCACAACCACACTGCCCGTGCCGAGTGCCCTCCACGCAGCCCGCTTCCCCGTCTCCCCTCCAGAAGAAAACGGTGCCTGCTCAGGCCTTCGAATTCCGCCCGCTTTCCGTAATAGTCGATCTCAGGACATACTTGCTTGGAACTTGGCTCCGGAGGGGGGGCGGCATCTGGAGGAGCAGCCCAGGCCTTTGGTCTGGGCATCCGGCTCGGCTGGAGGGTCTGTGGAGGGACCCTTGGGGTCTCCTGTGCAAGGCCTGAAGCCACAGGGTGCTCACCTCCTGGCAGCCCCTGCGTCGGAGTAGAACTGGGTTCCCGGTGGCTGGTTCACCAGGCAATCACCAGCTCTTTCTTTCTAGGTACCTCTGGGTGAAGATGAACCCCAACTTTTCGGTGGGTGCAGTGCGCGTGGCCGTGTGCCACGGCCGTTGTGTGTGGATTCCAACTCGCGGTGACCCGTAGGACGGAGCAGGGCTTCCCTGGGCGTCCTAGACTGTCTTTGCCCCCCCTGCCATTGAGTGCATTCTGAGTCCTGGTGATCGCTGCGGCCGGGCAGAGGGGAGCTGCCCGGCGGGCACCTGAGAAGGTCAATGTTTATGGCAACAGACAGACAGACTCTTCGTTACCTCTGAGGAGCGGCTGCTGGGTTGAGTCCCTGGCTGTGAGGTTAGCGTTGGTCCCAGGGCTTCGCCCCCGGCGTTGCTGGAGAGACGCCATTGCGCCCACACGCGGAACTGGGCATGGGCCCAGAAGCAGATGTTGGAACAGACTGGGGGCTGTGTGTGGTTTCAGATCAGGAAAGGGGTGCATCAGAATTGGGCCCGTGTTCCAGTTTGTCCACGGAGCAAACAGTCCCAGAAGCTGGGCTCTCTGCAGGAGAACATGGCCTCAGGACGGGAGGGAGGCTGAGTGACATGTGACAGGGAGGAGGACTTGCGGCATCTGCCGGGGAAGACGGAAGACCGTGGCTTGGGCCACAGCTCCAGGGAAAGCAGGCAAGAACCCTCACAAACTGGCCCTCGGAGGAGCAACATCGCCACAAGGGAGAGGAGATTGTGGTTGTCAAGGGTCTCAGTGCACTGGGATCCACAATCAGGGTTCATGGAAGCAGCAGTCAAGAGATCCAGTGACGTCGTGCCTTGGGCAAATCTGCTGCGCAAGATCTCTGGAAAGTGTCCCAGAGCAAGGATGTGAGTCTCTTTGCGGTCTAAGGTGGAACCAAGCCAAGCCAAGGTATTTCCAAAGGCCTCATGTGCATGCGAAGGTTGGACATTGGATAAGGAAGACCGAAAAGGACTGGTGCATTTGAACTGTGGTCCTTCTGGAAGAGATTGGTGATGCTATTTGCCTGAGGCTGGGTTCAAGAGGAGTAACTGGTAGATTCAAACTGCTGACCTTGTGGTTAGCAGCCGGGTGGATGTGTAGACCAGATATAGATAAGCATCGATATGTTCTGTATCTCGATAAGGAGGTTTCTCTCAAGGAAATTGTCAAGGTGGGCAAGTTCCCAGCCTGTGGGTCAGATGTCAGGTGGGCGACCTCCCTTGTCCCCTGTAGCTGCAGGGGTTGATGAACTGGAGACCAGCAGGTGGATGGCAGACTTCTGTCTGCAGAGGGCGATGAACCATGGTTCGTGGGTACCGTGGCAGGCCACTGCCTCAAGTCAAAAGAACCGGAGGTTGGATGACAAACCAGATGCAGCGTCCACACCCAGCAAAGAGCAGGCAAGCTTCCCTACAGTGTCCATTGATACTGAAAGCAGCCATACCTCCGGAAACTTCCTTTTGATTGATTGGTTGCTCAAAGCAGATCCCAGCATGGGATTGATGACATCACGTTAGGGCTCACCATGGGGGGTAGGTTGTGCTTTAACTGCCAGACCCCACTGGGAATCTCCGCCCAGGGACGTGGACACACAACATCTCACGATCACAAGCACGGACTGCCAGGTGAGCAGGTACATCTGTCTTGGAAGCTGTAGGCAGGTACATTCCCCAGAAGCAAGGGCGGCGAGACTCTGCTGAGATGCTTCGGACACGTTGTCAGCAGAGACCAGTCCATGGAGAAGGACATCGTACGTGGTAGAGCAGAGGGTCAGGAGCAAGAGGAGATGGGTGGACACCGCGGCTGCGCCTGCGCTCAGACAGTAATGACTGCGAGAGTGGCGTGGGACTAGGTGGAGTTTTGCCCTGCTGTCACGATGGACGTAGGGAGGCTCGTGGACAGTGATGTCCACCACAAGGGAGGAGAAGACCACCTTTCTCTGCTCCGGTCAGACCAGCATAGACAACAGCAGTGAGCTTTGAAGCCACACTTACTGTGGGGGGGCTGGAGGAGAGCGACCAGGCAGTGGAAATGGCTCGTGAGCTTGGGAAAGAGAGCTTCAGGTGGGGCCTGATCAAGGCGCTCTGAATTCTTGCACATGGTGGCTCTGGAGAGCAGAGGCAGGTAGGTCCATGGGAACATGGGGGGCTGAGGCGTTCTTCCTCCCCTCCCAGCTCCTCCCTCGAATGGTATTTGGGACCCGCCCCCCCTTGGGCCCAGGCCTCCCTGCTAGAGGAGGAGCTTGGGCTCCATGGGGGCTCTGGGTGATGGGTGCCCACCAAGAGCAGCAGCAGCCCATCTGGTCCTTGCTTTGTCCCCCCGCTCATGGTCAGCACTCCGTCGCGCCACCCGGAATGCAAGGCTAGGAGGCAGGCTGGCCAGGGGCCCCATGAGTTCAGGTCTGTTGGGCAGGTGGGACGAGGTGTTCAGAGCAGGACACTGGCCTTTGAGCCTCTAGGACCCTCTCCCCTCTCCGCACACACACCATCTTCCCACACAGGGCATGCTGGTGGCCAATGGTGGATGTGTTGGGGGGTTGAGTCTGGAAGGCGTGGGGTAGGTTTGGTGGGGGTGGATGAGTTGGGTGGGGTGGGGTGGGGCAGGGCAGGGTGTGTCCTAGCCATCTGAGCTCAGAAAGGCCCGCCTGCCCTCAACCGAGAGCATTTGTCAGAGGGCAGATGGTCCTGCCACTCTGTGGGGTTGGAGGGGAGTGCAGGGGCAGCTGTGGGGTGGGGTGGGGTGAGGCACAGGGGGTGGCAGCTGTGGGGTGGGGTAGATGGGGGGGGGCAGCCTGAGGGTCCCTGTGGTTCCTAGCTGGGTCACCCACGGACCTAGGGGCAAGGCTCAGCTTCTCCTCTCCCCTGCCCTTGAGGCCTGTCCTCCCAGATCCTGTTCCTTAACTGTCCCGCAGACCCTCAGCCCTAACCCCACCCAGGCCCTGCTGGCTGTAGGAATGGCATTTGACAAAATAGTTGGGGCGGGAGGGGCTCTCAGAGCTATGGCCTCAGCCTGGCTGCCTCTGGGCCTCAGCCTCTCCTCGGCCTGGGTCTGCTGTGATGGGGGCTCTAGGAAGACTGCCGTCAGACACCCGGCCCTCCGCTATGAGCTGTTCCCGGCCGGGGGTGCACGAGCCAGTGTGTGAATCAAGGGGGGCAAGCTGCCCATCACTGTTCTCTGTAGGACCTGCACCCAAGGGTGGCCCGGCACCCCCACCTGCACCTGTGGCTTCTGTCACAGCAAGTTTGGCCTGGTCAGCTCGGGACGGCAGTGACCATGAACAGGTGTCTGCAGACAAATGTCCGTGGCCACAGAGAGTCCAGTTCTTGCACACTCCCACTGGGGCTAAGGGGAGACTGCCGGGGTAGGGGCATTGCTGGACAGTGGGTCTGGGTCGTCCCGAGAGGTGGGGCTGCTTGGGCAGCCAGGAGTAGGGGGCGGGGAGGCCCTGAGCTGCAGGGGGGTGGATCAAGCACTAGGTGGACAGACGGATGATGGAAACCGAGAGCTTTATGAAGAAGGAATTACAGGTGAGCCCTCGTGGCCGGGCGCTGACACACTGTGCTGCTAACTGCCAGGCCTCTCTGAGGAGACAGACGGGACCTTCTTCCCCCGCAAGGAGCGACAGGCTCGGGGACTCACAGGGCCTGTCCTGTAGGGTCATTGTGAGTCAGAGGAGACTTGACGGCTGGGAGTTTAGCGTGAGATTGTCCCAGAAGGCCCTGTGGAGCTGGAGAGATGGAGGGGCTGACCGTGAAAGTAAGCCAGGGCTGACAGTGCAGATAGGGTTCTTGGGCCCCGGCCCCTCTTCACACGCCCTTGACAGTCACCCAGAGGCGCTGGGGAGCGGGTAAGTTACTTCACTGCAAAGAAAGAGCCCGAGGGGACCCCAGGGAGAGGGGAGTGGGGGGGAGCGGGCCCTTCCAGCAGTCAGTCCGGGGCAGCTCCAGGCTCTCCCATCCCCCCAGGCCTGAGCCCTGCTGACCATGCTGGGTGCCTAGTTCCGGCTGGCTGGGAGGAGTGGAGAGCCTGGCCTGGCGGTCTCAATGTCTTAAGAGGCCCAACCAAGGGGCTATCGCAGAAGGGCTCATCCCCTCCGGCTGACCCGAACACCTGTGGTTTGTGCAGCCCAAGGTCCTGCCCCTTAGAACTGTCTTAGACACAGATGGGGAAACTGAGGCCCAGAGAAGGGGCCCAGCACCTGGCCTCCCAATCAATCCCTTCACCACCGATGACGACAGGGAAGTGGGCCGAAATCTCGGTCCGGCGTCCAGGAGGGTGTCCCCCAGCCCAGACTCACCGCCAGGAAGAACGTGGTGAAGAGGTACACCATGGCCTCTGCGTGGAAGCGCCTCTTGGCCGCGATGCTGATGGTGGGGAGGAAGGCCAGGCTGCTGAGGGTGGGCAGCAGCAGCTTGGCTACGAGCGTCCCCATGGGCAGGAAGGACAGGGTTGTTCCAGCAACTGTGGGCCCATGAGGAGCATTTAAATGCCCTGTGGTGGGGGTGGGGTGGGGTGGTGGAGGCTGCATCAGGCACAGGCTGGGGACACACGGAGAGACTCCGACAGCTGCAGGACCGCGTGGCCAGCTGGCCTCTGCCTGTTATTAGAGACCGGTGTTGTTAAGCCATAGGCCTTATGTGCTTCTCTCCTGGGCAGCATGCTGGGGAGAAGCCTCCTGACCACCCCAGATACCAACCGTAGTCCTCACTGGGAGCTGGAGGGGCCAGCGTGGGAGGGTCCACGAGTCCACGTGTGACAAGAGATGAGGGGCGCCAAGGGCCAGCTGATTCTCATTGCGACGAGCCTACAGCTCCCCCAGCCCCCAGCGCTCTCCCGCCTGCTCTGTTCCCACTGGGAAGTGAGAGGAAGGACATGAACCCCCTCTCCCACTGGGGGACCTGTTCTTTGACAGGAGCTCCTGGGTTACGGGGGTGGGGGGGTGTCCTCTGGGGAGCCACCTTCTCCTGTTGCAAGAATTCTTGGTGGGGGGAGTGTGTCTACGTTAGCCCAGATGGACTAGAGAAACAAATCCATAGACACTCATCTGTGTATAAGAAAGAGCTTTATATCAAAGAGCAATGGAATATGGAGAAAACATCCCAGCCCAGTCCACATCGAGTCCATAAGTCTGATATTAGCCCAGATGTTGATGCTAGTCCATAAATTTCTCTTTAGACTCACGCGGCACATGCAACGACATCGAATGCAGGAAGATCACAGGCCAGCAGGTGGAAAGTCTTGTGGGTCCCGTGGCGGTGGAAGCATCTCAGCACTGGCGTGGGTCTCCGCATGTCTCCTCCAGCTCCAGGGCTCTGGCTCCATCAGCATGGCTCCATGTGGCTTGTCAGCAGGAATGTGTAGCAGAGAGTGTGTGTCCCGCTTCCAGGGAGGAAGACAGGAGTTCCCAGAATCCTCAGGAGAAGGCCCTGCCCACATAGAGGCCTCATTGGCTATGACCTGATTGACAGGCTAGACTCCACCCCTTCACAAGTTGACAGGAGATGATGTAACTGCCAAAGTGTCCCATTGCCCCCTGGCCAAGGAACGGGGGCTAGTGGTCTGAGCCCCCACGGCTGATCCTCTCCCTGAATGCATGCATCCGTCTGTCTGCCTTCCTACCATCCATCTATCTATCCCCCTCTAGCTCACCCGCTTTGGACATGCCAGTAGGAGAGACCAGTCCTCGTGACTGTCCTTTGAGTCAGTTCTGACCCATAGCGATCCTGTGGACAACAGAACAAAACAACGCGCGGTCCTGAGCCACCCTCACCGTTGTCCCTGTGCTGAGCCCACTGACGCAACCAGTGTGTCCATCCGTCTCATTGATGGCCTTCCTCTTTCCGCTGACCGGGACGTACACTTTAGCAAGCACGACGTCCTTCTCCAGGGACTGGTCTCTCCTCCCAGCACGTCCAAAGCGCGTGAGATGGAGTCTCGCCATTCTTGCGCTAAGGAGCGCTCTGGCCTGACTCCTTTCTGATGAAGTAAGACGGATGCGTTCGTCCTTTCAGCGTCCAGGGCAGTTTGAGTGTCCATCTTCAGCACCACCATTCGATGCATTGATTCCTCTACAGTCTGCCTTATTCAATGTCCAGCTCTCACATGCTTAAGAGGCAAAGGAGAATCCCAGGACTTGGGTCAGGCTCCCCTTAGTCCTCCAAGTGACCCCCTTGCTCCTCAATGGTCTAAAGAGGACGTGTGCAGCGCGTTTATCTGATGCAACATGTCTTTTGATTCCTTGACTGCTGCTTCCACGAGCAGTGATTGTGGATCCAAGCAAGACACCATCCTCGACAACTTCCCCGTCCATCACGATGTCACCAGTTGGTCCAGATGGGAGGACGCTGGTCTTCCTGACAGTGAGCTGTGGTCCGCGCGGAAGGCTCCGGTCCTTGGTCTTCATCAGCAAGGGCTTCAAGTCCTCCTCACTTCCAGCAAGCCAGGCTGTGTCCTCTGCATAGCGCGGGCTAAGAAGCCTTCCTCCAGCCCCGATGCCGCACTCTTCTTCACAGACCCCGGCCTCTCTGATGAGCTGCTCAGCGCGCAGATGGAAGAGTAGGGTGAGAGGACACAACCCCGATGCACACCTTCCCTGACTCTGCACCACGCAGCATCCCCTTGTTCTGGTCACACAACTGCCTCATGTCTCACGTACAAGTTCCTCATGAGCACAATGAAGTGTTCTGGAACCCCCATTCTTATCAAAGTTATCCCTTGTGGTCCTCATGGTCAAATGCCTTTGCTTAGTCAATGAAACACAGGTAAGCGTCTGGTGCTCTCCTCTTTGAGCCAGGCTCCACCTACATCAGCAATGATATCCCTTGTTCTACGTCCTCTCCTGAATCCGGCCTGAATTTCTGGCAGCTCTCTGTGAAGGTACTGCTGCAACCATTGTTGGCTGAACTAAAGCGACATTGTACTTGTGTGAGATCAATGACATTGTTCTATAGTTTGAGCACTCTGTTGGGCCACCGTTCTTTGGGAAAGGGCACAGATACGGATCTCTTCCGGTCCGTTGGCCAAGTAGCCGTGTTCCAGGGTTCCTGGCACAGACGAATGGGTGCTCCCAGTGTTCCTCAGCTTCCGAAACACTTCAGTTGGCATTCTGCCAGTTCCTGGAGCCTTGTTCTTGGCTCACGCATTAGTGCGGTTTGAACTTCTTCCTTCCGGACCAGTGGTGCTTGCTCATGGCTCCCTCCGGAAACGGGGGCACAGGGCTCTGTGTATTCTTTCCGTCTATCCGGAGGCTTCCTGCACCCTTCAATACTTTGCCCACTGCATCATTCAAGATCGCACCTGGAGGCTCGCCTTTTTTCTTGAGTTCTTTCCCCTTCGGATATGCTGAGCGTGTTCTTCTCCGTTGGTTGTCTAACTCTAGGTCTTCACACATTTCATTATAGGATTTGGCTCTGTCTTCGCGAGCTGCCCTTTGGAAATTGCTATTCAGCTCCTTGACTTCCTCCATCGGCTTTAGCTGCTCAAGGACGAAGAGCAAGTTTCGGCATCTCTTCTGACATCCACTCTGATCTGTTCTTTCCCTCCTGTCCTTTAATGACCCTGTGCTCTCTCTGTGAAGGATGGTCTTGATGTCCTCCCACAGCCCCTCAGGTCTTCCGCCGTGGGCGTTCAGTGCAGCACCTCTGGTCTTGAGATGTTCTTGAAACTCAGGTAGGACAGACTGAAGGTCATATTTAGGCTCCTGTGGACTTGTTTTAATTGTCTCAGCTTTATGCTGAGCTCACATAGGAGCAATTGGTGGTCTGCTCCACTGTCGGCCCCTGGCCTGGCTTCAGCTGCTGGTCCTGAGGTTCTCCCCTGTGACTTCCCACAGGGGTGGTTGATTTGATCTGTGGTATTGCATCTGGGGCTGTCAGTGTGTGTAGTCACCTTTTGTGCTGTTGAAAAAAAGTGTTCACTGTGAACAAGTCATTGGTCTTGCAAAATTCTATCACTGGTCTCCAGCTTCATTTCTATCACCAAGTCCCTATTTTCCAACTATGGCTCCTTCCTCTTTGTTTCTGATTTTTGTATTCCAATCAATAACTATCAATGCGTCTTGATTGCAGGTATGATCGATTTCTGATTGACGTCGATAGAATCCTTCACTTTCTTTGGTGGTTGGCCCATCGACTTGAGTGATCGTTGTATTGATTGGATCCCTCGAAGACGGGTGGATGCAATCTGATCACAGATGGCCCTGTACCTCATGGGGGATCCAGCAAGATCTGTCTGACAACGGCATCGCCGGCACAGTCAACCTGAGGGGTTTCTGATTCCGCCTGGGCAAGACCAGTCCATGTCAGCTCATGGGTGCCTAGGAGATCGAGCTTCCTCTTGTCATTTCATTTCTGACCACTTCCAATTTTCCTAAACTCACACTTGACACATTCCAAGTTCTAATCGTTAGAAGAGTTTTGCAGCTGGAGCTCTTGACCTTGAGCCGCTCCTGATCTGCAAACGAAGGTCCCGAAGACTCCACTCACACAGGTTTTGCCACATCACCAAGGTCGACTCCCCTGACAGAAATCAGCTGCCCTTCGGTCACATTTCGAGGGTCCTCGGACCTGAGGGCCCCCTGCCAGCAGCAGCTCCAACAGTGTTCTGCTCCGCTCTTTGGGCATCGGTACCTGGTGATGATTTGCATTTCAGCAGCTTGTTGAAACCTGTTCGTTTTGGCCGAGTCTGCCGGCCTCTGAAATACCAGGGACATCGCTTCTGCCATCATACAAGCCACCACAGCTCAGCACGCTGACAGACAGGTGGGGGACCAGTCAATCCCTAGAGCGGGCATCCTTGGTAAAGCAGGGGGTCAGCCAGAAAGAGGAGGAGCCTCGCTGAGATGATGGACACCATGCTGCATCAGCAGGTTTAATGTCATGACTGTTTGAAGACGGCACAGGACCAGGCCCTGCTTGCTTCTGTTGGGCCTAGGGTCACTGTGAGTCGGAAATGATTTAATAACACCATCTATCCATCCATCCATCCATCCATCCATCCATCCATCCATCATCCATCCATCCATCCATCCATCCATCCATCTTTCCATCCTCTATCTATCAGTTATCTGTTTATCTCTCCTCTGTCTCTCTGATCTACCCATCACCCCCCTTATACGGACACCATGCATCATCCACACACAGCACAACGCACGGTTTTGAAAGTGTGGATTGACCCGTTTTCTTGGGTGCTTCCACCTGGGGGACAGTGCCATGCACCCCCCACCCCAGAGTGGCCCCTCCTGGTCACGGCTTGAGCTGTGTGTCTCCTCAGGTGTGTGCCAGGCTGGCTGGGCCCGGACTCGCGGTGCTGTGGAATTGCTCTCTAGTTTCGGTCACCCTCTGGGTTGAAAGTCCTCACCTTAGAGGCTCGAGGCTGTGGTGGGGCCTGGGCGGGACACAGCCTACAGCATTGGGCTGTATCTCGGGGCCATCT